TTTTACTTTATGTGTGTTTTTGCCTGCATCTATGCCTGTGTACTACATGTGTGCAGTGCCTGCTGGGATCCAGATCCCCTAGGATCTGGAGTTACAGGTAGTAAGTTAGAGGTCATATCTGTTCTGGGACTCGAACCGAGGTCCTCTGGAAGAGCAGCTAGAGCTCTGAACCAGTGAGCCATCATCTCTCCAGCCCCCAGTGGAAATATTTTATTCCTGCCAAAAAGAAGGGCTTTCTGTCCTGGACACATGCTGTCTTTTTAGTTTCAAGAACGTACTGCACCTTAGCACCGAGCAGAGCCTTGTGTGTAAAAGCATCCGCAGGTGAATCTGTCCATGCTTATTGAGTTTACCGAGTGAAGCTTGCTGCTAGGGCATCTGAGGAGTGACTGCAGGAGCCCACCTCACTGTGGTCATGTGGCAAGAGGCGAGCAAATGTCATTAGCTGAGCCACATGGCTCTAGCCTCCAATAACCAAACTCAAAGAGGATCAAATCCTATAAAGACACACCAGGGGCATTTCTGCTCAGTTTGCTTTAACTTCAAATTGATTCTTCCATTGTAAAAAATAGTTTTAATACTTTAATACTAATGTGCTTTTAATGTTTACTGTCTAGTGGGTGATATTTTTATCTAAAGCCAAAAAATAAAAAAAAAACCCATGCTGTCTTAGAAATGTACTTTAGCTCAAACGGAAACTTCTCAACCAATGGCTCCTCTGTGAATTAGGAAGTAAAGTAAGAGTGGTTATTATTCCTGGAGTAAAGCCTCAGTGGCACCCCAGTGGACATTAAGGGACCAACCCATCATGTATGGCTTGTGCTAGTTATGCTTTCTGGTCTACTGCCAGCAGGAATGATGAAGAAAACCCCACCTACACATGTGACTAACGACAAAGGCCTGCCCAGAGTCCAGCCGGCCTCCGCTTCTGCTAGAAATCCCTGAAATGAGCAGTGTAAATAAAACTACTCCATCAGTTCCAAGAAAGTGATTTCAGTCCGTATCTGGTGTCACCCAGCTGCCACATCTTTTACACAATAAAATTAATAATAATAATAAATAATAATAATAATAATATTAATAATAAATAATGCCTATGCCTTCCTAGGCCTGTGATGTTCCCCATTGGAGGCTAAAGCTCATAGGTCCACTCTGCGGACCCTGCTGTGTCCCTGCCCATTGTGCAGCTGGTGTCTCCTTCCATTTGGACTTGGTTGTCATGCCTTGGGATCCCCCCAAATGTTCAATGCCTTTGAACTTGAGCACCAAGAACAGAGGTCTGTTCCTCTTCAGCGACATAACATGGCAGCCCCTCCCCTGTGTCACCAAGAGGGTTCTGTTCTTGTCGTTTCTGCTTTGTAGGAGAACATTCTGTTACAATGTTACAGAGTGAGAGCTTCCCAGCTGTAGGGATTTAAGCAAATCCCTTTATATTCAGCGAGGCCCACACGTTGTGCATGAGGGTCCAGGCTGCACCTCGGCACCACCCACCTTCCCACCAGCAGCTGTGTGTGGGTATAGACATGCCCATGACAGTCAAATCCCACTGGTGTTCAAGAGGCCACGGACAGGAGATGTGGCCTGCTCGGAACCCCTTCCTGGCACCTGCCTATCCCTCAACAAAGATTCTGCACAGAGCCCTGCTTAAGTGTGTTGACACACTTCAAATTACTAATTACCCTTAATTCTGGCATTCAAGAAGACATCGGCCATCCACGTCGGACCGTTGATCTCACTTGATAAATCTGTTGCTTACTAATTTTAGTGCCCTGAACTCTCCCAAGCATTGATTTGATCTCCTGCGCTCTTCAGTTTCAGCTTCAAGCCGAGTAGAATTCTGAGACATCTAGGGCACTGTTGGCTGTTTTAAGTGCTTTGTCTAGGGGCTGGCTTATGCATCTTCCCATACCCTGTATTCAGAACCCGTAGTCCAAGATGACACCTTAGGATAACACAATTAGATTTCACCAAGGACAAAGTGCCGTCAGCAGTGACAGTCCCCATGAATTACTGTCCAGGGAGGCTATGCCACCCCTTCACCCAGATGACACTTTGCCTGGCTCTGGGAAGTCCCTATATCCTAGCCAGACTTCTAGAAGGAGGTATTCCTAAAGGATCAGGTGCAGGTCTCTATCCTCACCTATCAGCGCATCAGGACTAGGGCTGCTAGGAGGGGTTGCTTCCTTCTGTTCCTTTAAAAGTACAGTTTCAGGGAGGCCATTTTTAAGCTCATGTCCCAGGCACCCTTCATCACACCAAGAAAGGCTCAAGAAGCAGATGTTTTGCGTAGAGCCTTAGTCTTCCAGCTTCAAGGCTCCTGGGTCTTCTCCCGGAGCCAGGGAGAGTACCGTTCACCAAACTCTGTTCTCTGTGCACATTTCATTGTGAGATGGCAGCCAGCATCTCTGCTGTGCCCTGTGCGTTATACAGGAGGGCTAGCCTCATACTCACTCACCCCCGCCATCACAGACAAGCAGGAGGACAAGGAGACAAGGTCAGTGACCTTGAATTGGAGCCCATGTGCCATCTTCATGACATGACACAAAACAATGTCTGTGGTTGCATGGTCTTCCTTTATTTCAGAAAGGTACCTCAAAAGACATATCTTTGGTAGTCATGACCATTCTGATGAGACTGTGTTCACTAGAGTTGGTGATCGATTTGCCTGTGGGCCATAGCCTGCAGGAACGCCACTGGCATCTCGGACCCACAAATTCCACAGGGTGGAATAGATGGCCCTAAATGTTTCAAAGTCTCGCTTCTAACTTGGTGGCTGAGGCACACAGGCAAACTGATGACTTGTGGCGGGAAACGCTACACGTTTCCCCAGTTGCGACTCAACAAAGACCTCCACAGCCGGTACTCAGCAGGGTCCAGGTTCCATCATGGTGCCAAACATTCTGGGTGGGCAGGCTGCTGGGTCTGATGAGTCTCCCCTGTCTCATCCACTCTGCCATGTTCTGCTAACAATGTGATTGCCTGTGAGCTAGATCTTCGTGGGTTCTGCTGGTGGTTCCTGACCTATGATAAGGCTGTACCTGCTCTGACACCCAAGGCATTCTGGTTACTCATCCCAGTGGACAATTCTTTCCACAAACACACACATACAATAAGCTCTCAGGGGGGCTGCTGCCTGGCTCAGCTGCTGTCTCCCACAGCAGGCATCTTAAAGCTCTCTGTCCATGATCCCTTTATGCCCCAGGAATTTTTACATAACCCCAGGCATATAGACATATGAGAAAGGTATACAAATCAAACATTTTCTGGAAATAAATCATAAAGAAATGTACTTCGAAACAGTTCTTGGGCAAATGTGTAATTTATCCTTTGTTAAAAGACTAAGGCAAATTTGCATGCTAGTGTTTGTTTTTACATAATTAAATAACTCTTGGCTGAATGTTTGATACCGCAGGGCATGGAGCTTCTTCAGTGTTTCCAGAATTGGTCAATACTTTGATTTTATAATTGCTGAGGCCAAGAACATGGCTTCTCATAAATACATTGTAGAAAGGAACAGAAGTACGTTTAGAATTGCATCAGGAATTGTTGGGAACGCTATCCTAATTCCAAGCCAAAGTTCCTTTAACAATTTTATTTGAAAGTCAAGTCAGCAACTCAAACAGCATTTTTTTTTAAAAAAATTTAAACATTCTATCATAATTCAATCCAAACACATAACTTATTTGAGGTCTCCGTGCTGAGAAATGACAGTAGGGAAATATTTTCAAAATCTTTGTTTTCCTTAATTAACCCACTATTAAGTAAGAGCAGAAAACATCTTATTTAGAGTGAAAACACCATATTTCATGACACAAAGCTGTCTCCAGCATAAGCCCAGGTGTTTCGGGCGGCAGTCTCCATTGTGTGGAATGGCATGTGCCTCGCATACACATGTTGTATGTTTAGAATCAAGTGAACACACAGCACAGCAGAGGCAAGCACTGTCAGAAATGACTGCAATGCTTCATGCATTTAACTTTGGATTACACATTCTGAAACCTCTCATCATCGCCAAATTTCTCTCAAGTCACATTGAGTTACCAGAACCAATATGGGGCCCATAGTATAAGAAGCTGGCTGCTAGGAGGGTGGAAAAATGCATTCCTAACACCCACATGGACTCAACCATCTACATAACCTAGTTCCAAGAGACCCAGTGCTCTTCCAGCATCCATGAACACCAGGCACACACAAGGTGCACACACATACATACAGGCAGGCAAAGCACTGATACACATAAAAAAATACCTGTTTTTAAAAAGAGAAGAAGCTCGGTAATAAAAGACATTGAAACAGAAAGAAAAGAGCCCTCATTAAACCAATAAGGTGTGAGATTCACACCTCAAAGCCTGTTGAAGGACAGCCGTCTTCGTCACCTAGATGGTGCTGCCTTAAGGAGGATGCAGTTCTCCCTGGAACCACCTACCGTGAATACGGCATGCATGGGTGCATTTTGCTTTTCTTTTCTTCAGATCCAGGGCTCTCAGTCCTAGGAGGCAAGGGACTGCACGTTTGAAAGCCAGTGCTGAGCCATAAAAGATCAGTCTAACCTTTCATATTTTAAAGAGAAGGTAATCCTAGGCAATCAAGATTGAAGTGTGTGTGCTTTTACCTATGATTTAGTGTGTCCTTTAAGCTCTCTCTCTCTCTCTCTCTCTCTCTCTCTCTCTCTCTCTCTCTCTCACACACACACACACACACACACACACACACACACCAATAAAGCTCTGGCTGCCGGTGGTGAGTATCTATGCAGGCATCTTATAACAATTTTTTCAACCCCAGCATTCTTGAATTAATGCTAATGAAAGCCGCCGCCCTGGCCTTATTTTTTCTATATGAACACTGGAATTGCAGCTGCCTGCCAAGCTGCTGAAGGATGAGTGTAATAATTTTCAATTGGCCTCTTCGCCCAAAGGGAGCCCGATAGCGGGAGATTGGCAGATGCAGTGTGGATTATCTTGTGCACTGAGCTCAGCCCAATTTGTGATTTGTTGCAGGTGCTAAAGAGATTGATATCGCCGCGACCCTGGAGCACTTGAGGGACCAGAGACCAGGCATGGTCCAGACAAAGGTACTGTCAATCAATCCTCCAGGACTTTAAATGTATTAAAGGTGCCTCTGTGCGTGATTTTTTCCTGAGAGCAGAGAAGGGGATGAAGCCGAACTTACATAAGCCACACACAATAGCTCTGGTCCCGGGTGGGCATCATCCCAGCCAGTCCCCAGTAGGCAAAGGCACAGGAGATGTTCCCAAGAGGTTTGTCGCTATTCTGGGAGCCACTCCGATGCTTTCAACATCTAAGATTCAGTTAGACCCTACCGGTCGAAACACAATCTCTTACTCTCTACCAGGTTTAGCAGGGCCGGGGGGAGGGGGAGTGGGGAGAGACCATCACATGAAATGTCAGAAGGTGTATGGACTAAGGATAGAACTCAGGGCTTCATGCATGCTTGACAGTGATCACCAGGACTGTATATATACATATAAACATACATACATACATACATACATACATACATACATACATACATACATTCATCCTCTTACTTGTGGGGCATTGGGGCTGGAGAGCTGGCTAAGATGTTAAAAAAAGCATTGGCTGCTCTTCCAGAGGACCCAGGTTCAATTCCCAACACCCACATGGCAACTCACAACTGTAACTCCAGGGGATCCAACACCTTCACCTGCAAGCCAAATACCAATGTACATAAAGTAAAAATGAATAGATAATTAGAAGTCTTACTTGGGCTAGGGGAGCAAGGCTCCAGGGCCAGGCGCTTGCTTACCAGGTGTTTTTTTTTTTTTTTTTTTTTTTTTTTTTTTTTTTTTTGGTGGGGGGGGTGCTCTATCCTTAGCACTGGAGGAAAAATTATTTCTGCTTATGAGCACCCCTGTGAGGTCAGGCTGGCTAGCATACCCTGGGCCAATCCCCACTCCCTGGTGCTGCAACCTGGGGGTCCCTAGCTCCTGACGCAAGTCTACGTGATCCCTCTGCAACACAAGGTAACTACTAAGCCCCCACTTTCTGCTCAGATGCTGATAAGCTGGATACCACAGTCCCTGCAAGAGAGGTGCAGAGCCTGACCACACTGAGCTGAGTACGTTTTGACTGGGATATTTGTCTCTTAAAATCCCTCCCTGAGTTGTCCAGCTGGGTCTCCTTGCCAATGTTAACAGGAGCACCGATGCAAAATATACCAGATTCTCTTATGAGGTCACACAAGTGTTGTAAGCAGGAGAGTAAGGTCCCTTAAGGGACCTGAAGCTTCCCAGTGGAAGCCTCAACTGCCAGATCCTTTCTCCCTGGATGTGGACTCTGGCAGGATCTCTGCTGCCTGGCTTTATTTTCCCTTGTGAGATGGGAATATTATTGTGAATGAACTTTGTAAACTACATTTTATCTTTTCTTGGGTTTTTAATCTAAAAGTTTGAACTTGTAAAAACAGTGGGGCTGGAGAAACAGCTCGGTGGTTAAGAGCACTTCCTGCTCTTACAGAGGACCTAGGTTTGATTGGTTCCCAAAACCCATGTCAGGCATCTCAATAGAGGCTGTAACTCCAGCTCAAGAGAATCAACTCTCCTGGATTTTTGCACGTATGTGTGCATATATATTCACACATACATATATACATACATACATGCATACATACATGCATACATACATACATACACATAATCAATTGAATCTTTTTAAAGCAATTACAGAAATAATGCAGATAACCTCCAACTCCCCCTCAACCCACTCATCTCCCACCAATATTTATACCCTGTGTAACCACAATTAAACCAGGGGTTACCATTAGACCACCAGACTGAGCAGACCACACACACACACACCTGTGCCTATCCATAACCTCTTGTAGGAATGGTTGTTCCAGAATGGGCAGGCATGGGACATCCCCTTCCCTCATCTCTTTTGGTCTATGATAGGCTAGTGATCCATAAACTATCTGTCGGCCAAGTTCCTCAGACATCCCTTGGTGACATGTCAGTCAGGAACATCTTCCCAGAGCACGCTTCTCAGGTTGCCTACCACTATTAAAAATATGTCTGCTGGTCTCCCCATTGCTGATCAAGCGCTTCCGCCCATAATTGCTCAGGGTCCTGTGGGAGAGACCTCACTGTCCTGGGGCCATGTGTATATCTGTCACTGTCTAGAGATGAGGCTACCAGGACACGTGTGTCACAGGACGGTGGCTATTAGTGACAAGTGACCCACAGGCTTTTTGCCCTGGGAAAGGGGGGCTGCCCAGCTGTGAGAGGTCATACTGGGTACCACTCTGCAGCAAGGCAGCTCAGAACAGAGCAGAGGCTGGTAACAGTAAACTCAGGGACTCCGACCCAGGAATACAAAGTGAATCCTCTCTCTAGGGCCACATTCTCCTTTGGGGAGTCCACCGGAAGTACCAGCCAGTCTCTTCCATCCATGCCACTGGAACCTTACAGATCCCTTTCCCCCACCAGACAGCTCAGAGTCCCCAGAACATCAGCCAGTTTTATGAGGGATCTGCACTCATCCAAGAGAAAGCACCTGCCAAGAGTAGGGGGAAATGCCCGACAAATCATAGGAAGAAAGCCATTCGCCTCTCAGATATCAGTATCTTGCTGCCAAAGCCTGCAGCAAGTCCAAGTCAGGCCCCTGCATCAGCCCAAGCTTCAGTGCTTGGGGCAATGGTGATTACTATACCGATTATTATAGTATTAATAATTATACTGATTATTCCTCTGTAGTGTGAGTTCAGTTCCACCCAGTGTTTGCAGCGTATGACTCTAAAGCCCACATGTGCCAGCCCCACAGCCAGCTCACAGGGTGGCACAAAGCTCAGGGACCAAGTCTACCCACGTGGCCTGCTCCCTGATGGATGGTGACAGGATTAGTCCCTTCCCTCAGGCTGGATGTCCAGAGATGGGAGCCTGCTCCCGTGTCCGTGGCAACACAAACTGACCACCCTTCCACATTTACAGTGCTTCCCCTGCCTCAGGTTCACTTCATGACACAGCTTCTCTCTGGACTTTAGTTTCCCCCAAACAGAAAACTCACCAGGGCCAAACAGTGCCATACTGTCTAACACTCCTCGAGCAAAGCCGAAAGCAGGTCACGGTAATTCAATTCCCATGAAAGCACTTGATCAGGCCCACCATTTGGACCCCAGGAAAGGTAAGGGCTGTTGATTGACACTGACCACCAGGCTGGATGGGCCAGAGACTCCTGAAGACACGTTCTCTTTGTTAGAGCTGGTTGAAGGGTAAGAGCTTTTCTCCCTGGAATGTAGGTCATGCAGACACACACAGAAAACAGCTAACGGACGGACAGACGCCTGCCCAAGCAGCATGGACAGAGATGAGACACCAGGACACACAAAGGCTTAGCCACCTCGGAGGATGCAGCCAGAATTAAGACAGGAGCACCAATAAGGTGCCCCCCACCACACACACACGTGACAGTGAATTCGCACCTAGGGCAACCACACCTGATTCTTCCCAGTACAAAAGGAGTCGACCTTGAAGAAAGGAGGCAAGGTGACAGAGAACAGTACACACAGGGAATCCAGGTGGGGCTCAGGGTAGTCCTTATCTCAGCTGTGTCTGTTATGGACACAGCCTCCCCTCCCCAGGGCCAGTGTGAGTTGCCATAGCAACTAAAGGCTTTAACCCTTTCCTTCCTGTGAGCTTGGTTGAATTTTTTTTTTTTTTTTTTTGTTATTAGTGTAGGGTCTGTGTCTGTGAAGGAAAGGTTTCCTTGGGGTGATTCTGTACCCTGAAGTACTTCCCTCATGTCCATCCCACTCTCCTCCTCTATCTTTCCACAGCCCTAATCATCTCCTTTTTATTTTTATGGCCTGTTTTGTTTTGTTTTCCCTCCAGATATGAACAAAAGCATGTAGTACTTCTTGTGAGACTGGCTCATTTCATTTAATAAGTGGTCTCATGATTTCCTGACGTAGCCCAGGCTGTCCTTGAGTTCATGATCCCTCCTGCCTCAGTCCCCTGAGTGCCAGGGTTGCAGGCAGGAGCCACCATGCCCATAGCCTGTGATATTTACTCTTTTATCAGTTCTAGAAAAACAAAACAGAACAAAACAAAACAAGTGACTAGCCTGTCCTACAGCCCAGAAGTTGGCACTCTGTGCTCACCAAGATGGGCACGCCTGAGGGTGTGTGTGAAAGGGTGCAAGTAAGGAGTCCACAGTGAATTCTCCACTGTGCATGTGTGTGACAAGGGAGGCTTGCAAAGCATGTGTAGATGTGTAGATGCATGAGTGAAGGTGTGTGTGTGTGTGTGTGTGTGTGTGTGTGTGTGTGAATGTGTGTGAAATGGGTATGAATTAGTGTGGGTTTGCATGAGTGGGTGTGAGGGTGAATGAGTCTGGTGAGGTGTGAGTCGGGGTGTGAAATGTGTGTGTGTGTATGTGTGTGTGAGGACAGGGTGCTCAATGCTCACTCACCATGTGAGTGTGTGTGTGTGTGTGTGTGTGTGTGTGTGAGGACAGGATGCTCAATGCTCACTCACCGTGTGAATATGTGTGTGTGTGTGTGTGTGTGAGGACAGGGTGCTCAATGCTCACTCACCATGTGAGTGTGTGTGTGTGTGTGTGTGTGTGTGTGTGTATGTGTGTGTGAGGACAGGATGCTCAATGCTCACTCACCGTGTGAATATGTGTGTGTGTGTGTGTGTGTGTGTGTGTGTGTGAGGACAGGATGCTCAATGCTCACTCACCGTGTGAATATGTGTGTGTGTGTGTGTGTGTGTGTGTGTGTGTGAGGACAGGATGCTCAATGCTCACTCACCGTGTGAATATGTGTGTGTGTGTGTGTGTGTGTGTGTGTGTGTGTGTGAGGACAGGGTGCTCAATGCTTTTTCACTGTGTGAATATGTGTGTGTGTGTGTGTGTGTGTGAGGACAGGGTGCTCAATGCTCACTCACCGTATGACTATATGTGTGTGTGTGTGAGGACATGGTGAGCAGTTCTCACTCACCGTATGATTTGTGTGTGTGTGTGTGTGTGTGAGGACATGGTGATCAGTGCCCATACACCCTTATCATCTCAGCCCTGACTGCCAACATGATTCCACTTTGACTTCTCCTCCACAAGCCCACCCTCCCGACACCCTGTCCGCCTGCTCATCAGAGATACCAGGTGTAGATCCTAAGTCTCTATACAAGGGCACTGGCCTCAGGTGTGTTCTGCCTTCCCAGACAGGCTAAGCTTGGACCAAGAGATGATGATTCAGTCAGGTGTATCTGGGTCATAGCCAGAAACGACCCAACCCACTCTCTCGAGCGTCCTATGCTATAGAAGGCTGTCTGTTCCCTGTCTCCCTCTCCCCGTGTCTGTCTGTCTGCCTACCCTTTGTTCTCTCTCTCTCTCATTACCCCTTTCTCTCCCTCCCCTTTCTCAAAACCTCTGTTCATTTTCCTCCATCTGTCTCTCCTTATCATTCTGTCTTTCTTGCTATGATTCTGTCCATCTGTCCAACTCTGTCCCCGCTCCACCGGTTCATACACACAATGGCCATCCCCACCTCTCCTGGCTGTGTCCTCAGAGCTCCGGGCTAGTCTATCATTGTGAAGAGGGCTGCAGTGACACAGAAAGACATAGGGTCCTAGGTCCCCTTTAGGCACCCTCTGGGGAAGCAACCCCCAAAGGGCATGAAGACCTCAGGGCTGTAGGTACTGGCATCACACTACACTGAAGCTTTCATTAGAATGAGAGACGACGGTTGTCATAGCAACCACCCAAGCAGAAGAATTCACATGTAATCACAGGTGCAGATGAACAGCCTTCCCCTTGCCCCACAGCCTGCAGACCTCCACAGCCCAGGAAACACTTTGTATTCAAGGGGGTGGTCACTCCGCAAGAGCACTCTCTCCTTCCTGAGCGGCTCAGCTGGCCCACACAAGTGTCCTTCCATGTCACAGGCCGGCCTGGTGAGGGGTGTTTCTCCCTACTCAGCAAAGACTTGCAACAACACCTGCTTCAACCCAAGCTTCTCCAGGGTGTGGGGACGAACTGGAAGAGACCATAGGACTGGTTTTCTACAGACAGACTTTTAGCTGCTTTAAAAACCTACTCCTTTGCTAAGACTAACTCATCATTCTTTCCGTGCCCAGCTGACACCGCCAGGCAACACTTGGTCCTTCCTGCTCTGGCAGCTCGTCATCCATCATGTGTTTTATTCCCTAGCCGCAGCCTCCACTGTTTTTTTTTTTTTTATGTTTTGCTGAATATAGATTCCTATTGCAAATGTACTTCCTTTCTGGACCTTAACCCCTGGGTTCAGGTGAGGCTGCTCCAATTGTGGGAATAGCCATGTGTCATGGATACATACCAGTGAGCCCAGTGTTTGGCAGACAAGAGTTGAGAAGATCTTAAAGATCAGGGCTGACTTGAAATAGAGTCAGTTAGAGGTCAGCTGAACCCTGTCTCAAAATAAAAAGTTACCATAGGCCACTGAGGGTCCATGTGTGTGGTAACACTGTAGCAGGACAGGTACTGGCACCAGACATAGCCACAGGCTACCAAAAGGTCCAAATTGTGTGATATCATGGTGAGGCAGGGGCTGGAGCTAGATGAACAGTGATGCTGGCACAGTAATGAGTCTGTAAATGTGTATACATAGGGCTGTTCACAACCTGCGACCGTTACCTAGGGAACAGCGGGCACAAATTATGAGGTCTGTGACTCCACAGTGCCATCAGCCAGTGCCCGATGCCACCGGAGCTCTGAGCTCTGTAAGAGCTTTGTAGAGGCTGAGACAGGGCAAGGTGGCCGGCCACCCACCACCTGCGTCTGACCTTGAAAGGAGACAGGCTGGTCCCCCATCCCCGCCCCTCTTTCTCTCTCTGCCATTGTCCTGAGCAGAAAAAAAAAACAGGCCTCACCATGATGGATATGGATGTCCTCCATGGATGCTCATTAGCTAGATAGGGGCCATGTCCCTCTCCATTTGTGAGTGGGTGTGGAAGTCAGTGTCTTAAGAAGTCCATTGATGGCAGGAGGTTCCCTGATGCAGTCAGGTTGGAGATAGCCTATTCATTCCAGAAGCAGTAGTGGCATTCTGCTTCAGCACTGCTTTGGGTGTGGGTGCAGGAACAGCCATGGCCAGCTGGCATCTGCATCTTACCTCCCCCACCCCCCACGCCATCCACTGAGACTCTTGGATGTAGTGACAAATTGCAAAAGACGGGGCATGTAGACCCTTATCTGGTGACTCCTGTCCCCACTATGGCCATGGAAGTGGCTTCCAGCAATGGGAGCAAGGCTTTGCAGCCCCCAAATCCAAGGGGCACAACCTAGGTCAGCAACCAAAGAGCCCTCCCTCTGACCGTTCTGTTTCCTAAACAGCTTCTTCTAGGCTTACACTGGGGTGGGGAGAGAAATTCTCTCACTCACCATCCCTTCTCACTTGTCTCTTCCTCAGGAGCAGTTTGAGTTTGCACTGACAGCCGTGGCTGAGGAGGTGAATGCTATCTTGAAGGCCCTTCCCCAGTAGGCACTGAAGCCGGAGCTGGCGGGACCCCACCACCACTGCTACAAGGACCATAACAGGATGTCACTTCTCTGTGTCTTCGGTGTAGTGACAGGGTCCTTCAGACTCCATAGTCAGTGCAGGTGGGCTCTTGTTTAAACCTAATATCAGATGTGTGGAAACACCCAGTTAAGAAGGGAGGAGAGACTCAAGCTCATGGTCTTGACAAAAGTTTCCTTTTCCCTAAAGCACACTTTCTCACTGTCGTATCAATGACACAGTAACTAGAAATCCAGCGTGGCCTCCATGGGAGTGGGCTTACATCTATCTGTAAGTTGCTGGAGATCTGGTGGGTGCACCAGGACAGCCAGCAAGACACCTACTGGGAAACACTAGGTGTAGAAACACATTTGACATTTATCTGTAAGACAATCTCACCATCGGGAGAAATTTCTGGGAAAGAGATCAGTGTCCTGCATCCCTGGGACAGAGGACAAGGGTGTCATCATGTCGTTATACCCATTTCCCCTAATGTCGTTCTACCCACACCTCCAGCACAGTGATTAATCATGTCCCCACATGGATTCCAAGGCCAGAAAAGAAAGGTCTCCCAAGGACAGACACCTTACCCGGACCCCCTGGAGAGTGGGCACTGTTTCTGCTCCAAAAAGCGGGAACCCGGGTGATAGCCTCACCCTTGCACCCTTGCTGAGTTATAGAAGAGCCCAGCCCTGAAAGGCACTTTTAATATTAAGATTGTGGTCTCTGCATTACAAGAACAGGCGCCCATAGGATGCTTCCCTTGAAGTTACAAAACCAGAATGAGGGTGGCATTTAGCAAGCTCCGAGGGTCCCCTGGAGCAAGTGCTCCCCTCCCCGCATCATCCGGGAAGCACCCCAGTGTTACTGGCACCAGAAAAGGTCTTGGATGCTCCTACCCCTGGGAAGAAGGCTGGGAAGCCCCTTTGGCTCTGCTTCCTCTAGCCTCCCAGATGACTTAGTGAAATGTGGGCTCACCCGATGATCCAAATTACAGAAACATTTGGGCAATGCGCTTAACACCTCCCCATACATTAGAAAGAAGCCACTTGAGGAAGTGCAAGGCGCTGGTATGCAGAGAGGCAGAGGGTCCTGCTGTGAGCAGCAGTTGGTAGGGCTGAGCATGAGAACGCCTATTGCCTGTGTCCCTTTGCCGCTTCCCTCCACCCCATAAGCCTCGACATTTCAAGTTGCCACGTGGCAAGGAAAGTGGGCCGCGGAGCGGGAAGCAATGCCGCAGTGCTGTTCTGTCTCTCTGGTTGTGTCGTAAACCTGCCTAACATCTCTGACATTTCTCTTCCAAGTCATTTCCCGCCCCCCCCATCTGGAATCTAAGTAATCATTAATAGAAATGAATTTATCTGACTATAGGAAGCATATACCTAATTGTAACTAAGTCTTATGTTTAAAGGAAATCCTCAGCGTGATATACAGCTATATTTAATTGTGTCATATTAAACCTTCTGATTTCATATCTGATGGTCTTTATTTGGGGAAGCAAGGACAGTTTTCTCCCACGGACACCTTTCATTTCCAGAAGATATAAATCCAAGTTTAGCCCCTTCTAGGGAGGCCAAGGGACACCACTAGACACAAACCCAGGGTTCTGTGTCACTGAGGTTTTACTCCTTAAAAGTTACTGAGCAACTGTGTTGATGCCCATAGCCAGAGGTCTTGGCCACCACCTGGGGCATGTTGGTGTCTGAGGGCCATCCTACCACAGGGGTCGTGCCAATCGAAATGGACTGAACTGCCACCGAGACCATGGTGACACCCAGGCCCAAACTGCTGCCTAGGACCATGTCTGGGTCCATGGTCCTATCACAGCTGGCATCTGTATTGATGTCTGTGGCCCATGTTGCCACCAAAGACCATACAGATGCCTGGGGTCTGGACTGCAACCTGTGTCCATGAGGGTGTTCAAGGGCCATGGTGTCATCTAGACCAGGGCTGCTGCCAAGGGACATGTCTGGATCTGTGGCCTTGCAGCAGCCAGGGTCCAAGTTGATGCCCAGGGCTCCTGTTACCGCCAAGGGCTGAGCAGATGACCTGGGTCTGGTCAGCCACCTAAGACCATGTTGGTGTCTAAAAGACAATGGGATATTTGAGCTCCTGGAATCGAGCTGAGGCCTGTATCCAAAACATCATATTCAATATTTGGACCCCTACACCCCTGCTCCTTGCTTCAGGCTGCATTGGGTAAACTAGCTGAGGCAGGTGTGGAAGAGCTCACCTGGGTAGTGATGATGAGGGAAAGCTGGTGTACAGACCAACCCAGTTACCACCCAGGCCCAGAACCAGGGCTATGAGTTGGCCACCCCAACATGTCATCTGTGAACTGTTGGAGCATGTGAAGGGGACAAACAGCAGTATCTCATGACACAGGACAACAACAGGCTATCCAAGAGGAGCCCCGTGAGAAGCCAGAGACCTCGAGTTCATGGCAATGAACATGTAGACGGAAAGGTGAATGAATTACAGGGTAAACTGTGTGCTTCCATTGTTAGACCCCTGGAAAGCTCAGGCCTCTGGGGTCTCAGCCCAGGACCACGATCACCCCAATCACCAGGTGGAGTCGAAAGCTTGATGCAAACTGCACGAGGCTTTATTGTTGTTTAACGAGCTAACCCCATGTTAGCTCAGGTCTTTCACCCACCCACCATGGGGGATGGCTACAAAAGACAGTTTGAACAGGCTGCATAGAGATCTTATAGGGCAGCGTAAGGGGAGTGTCTAGGGGTACGCACAGGCTCAGAATTGGTGTCCCTCCAGGCTTGGAGGGCTTGCCCTGTGTTGATTGGCCAATTGGTTGTTATGGCCCATAGGCCTGCCCCGGGTGGTTGCTATGCTCTGCGCATCATTGCTGTGCGCTTGTCCGTAAAGCACACCCAGAGCCGTAAAGCATAGCACCACCAGCTAACTTCTGATTGGTTCCTTGCCATGAGGCAGGCATCTGACTTTCTAGTGACTAGGACAAGGTCAGACAAGCATGTGTTCAGCTGTTATGGCTGCCGAAAGGGGCAGGCATCTGACCTTAGTGACTAAGACAAGGTCAGACAAGCACGTGTTCGGCTGTTATGGCTGCCGAAATGGGGAGCTGGTCCCTTCACCATGGGCCACACTACAGCTTCCATGACAAGATTCTCCTTCTTCTCCTTCTCCTTCTCCTTCTCCTTCTCCTTCTCCTTCTCCTTCTCCTTCTCCTTCTCCTTCTCCTTCTCCTTCTCCTTCTCCTTCTCCTTCTCCTTCTCCTTCTCCTTCTCCTTCTCCTTCTCCTTCTCCTTCTCCTTCTCCTTCTCCTTCTCCTTCTCCTTCTCCTTCTCCTTCTCCTTCTCCTTCTCCTTCTCCTTCTCCTTCTCCTTCTCTCTCTCTCTCTCTCTCTCTCTCTCTCTCTTGCTCTCTCTCTCCCTCCTTCTCTCTCTCTCTGTTTGATTTTTGTTTTTATCTTTAAGTTTGGTTTTGTTTGGTGGAGGAGGTTGCAAGGGCAGCTGCAAGGGGACCAGAAGATAAGAGGGATAGGAATGCTTGATGTGAAATACACAAACAATCACCGAAAGTTTTTTTTTAAGTTACTGAGCAATCACTGAGGGCTTCAGACCTCGCCTGGTTGAGTGCTCTGCTATGTTCTGCTCAAAGCCACCCCAAGCTCCCATCCAGGCTCTGCCTCACTGAGACTGGTCCTTCTGTCCCTGTTCACATGAGCTATCCCAGCCTGCAGCATAGCTCCAGCTCCAGGGTTGGGGACAGACATGGCTGGAACAAGACTTCCTGGCTTCCTTTTCTTTCCTAAGAATAGTAAGTCATTTTTTTAAGTTAACTTTTTAGTTAATATATACAAGACAATGAGATGAGTTTCATCATGGCAATTTCATGTGCGAACACACACACACACACACCTACATTCCTCATATGAGAGAAAATGCATTGTCTCTGATTCTGGTTTATTTGCTTAACATGATCTCCTGTTCTATTCATTTTCCTGAAAACTGCATAGTTTTGTTAAGGAAGAATGAGACACCATTGAATATATGTAATACATTTCTATCGGTTATATCATCTATGCTGGATCATGTTCTAGCTGTTGTAAAACATGCAACAATATATGTGTATCTGTATGTCATGCTGACTTAAAGTCCTTCGGGTAAGTGCCCAGGAGTGAGGTAGCTGGATATTAAGGTAGTTCTATTTTTAGTTGTTGAAGATTTCCATGGTTGCTACAGATTTCCTTCCATCGTTGCTACACTCCCAGCACCAGCATATAAGAGTTTCTCTCCCTCCAACTTTGCCAACGTTTGTTTTCCATTTTAAAAGATGTATTCATTTAATGAATTTGTGCCTTTGCCTGTGTGAGTTTGTGTTCCATATGCGTGTAGGAGCCCATAGAGGCCAGAAGATGGCATCAGATCCCTTGGAACTTGATTCATAGGCATTTACAAGCCACCAAGTGGGTGCTGGGACTAGAAGCTCAGTCCTCTGCAAGAGACTGCTCTTATAATGCCCCAGCCATCTCTGCAGCCCCCACTTGTTTTCCTGATGACTAATTCTGACAGGGCGAGAAGAAACCCATGCGTTTCACTGACAACTAACGATTCTGATTATTTTTCAAATGTTCATAGGCAATTTTCATTCCTTTTGAGAAGTCTCTGTTCACTTTTCCATTTATTCGTTAGGTAATTAGGGTTTATGAATATTTAATTCTTTAACTCATTCTAGATTCTAGATTAAATCCCCTGTAAGATACATTGTTGTCAGAGGTCTTCCTTTCTGTGGGCTGTCTCTTTACTCTGCTAACAGTTTCCTTTGCTGTACAGAAAACATTTTAGTTTCCCACAATTCCATTTTTCAAGTTACTGGGATTATTTTCCATGTCACTGGAGTCTTTCTTTGCCTATGCTTGTGTCTTGAACTGTATTCCTCCAGAAGCCTCAAAGTTTAAAGCTTGTATTAAGGTCTTTGGTCTCTTTGGGATTGATTTCCCACACTGA